GTTTCTGGTTTCCTACTATTGCTTTCATCATTRTAAAGTCATTTGATAACAAGATCTCTTTCTTCAATTCCAAAATTCTTTTATTGAAGGGTTACTGAGGAAGAAAACCAGCAATTTTCCTCAAGATTAGTTWGATTCTTAACTGAGTACCAATTCACATGCATGCATTGTTTTAATTGTATTTCAAAGTTCAAAAGCCTYTGTTTTTACTGAGAATAACCTTTCACAAATTATGGTTTTAAAAGCTTGCATCAGCTTTTTAAGAACTGTATCAGTATTGGAAGGCTTACAGAGGCTTCAGCTGTTTACCGTGTCGCTTCAAAAACACCCCTTCAATGTTCATCTTGAAAAATACCTACTACTTTATCCAAGCTRGCTGGAGTACTTAAACCACAAGTCAAGTAATAGATTTTACAACAAAAAATTGAGACAATAATTTCACTGGTTTGAAAGATGCACTGGCAGAAGYTCAGCCATACATAGGAACCTGCACAATCAGGCAATCAAGTCAATTAAATGAACAGTAACTCTAAAAGAAGGCACCAAGTCCAGATATTAATCCCTCATTCATATGATTAATAGACAGAATGTATACTTCTTTTGCATGTTGTTTTCACAGTAACTCAAAAGACTGGCTTCAAAAATTCTTCAATTTTGGCTTCCACCTGTCAAGCACCTCTCTGCTCCTGATGCCTTCACACAGAAGTTTCTACCCTGCACACACCTATTAAATCCCACTACACTGGAAAAAGACTGCTGGACAGTCAGAGAGGGTAAAACTCTGAGGGTGTATATAAATGTGATTTACTCAGAAACCCTGTTTTGTGATGCCTGATGACAAACCACCCAAGTGACTCGAGTGCATCAAGCACAATCAACGTGAAAGAAAATCACACTGCAAAAAACCCAAGATGGATTCCTCTGCTTCCATTTGACAGTACTACCTTTGGTTCTTTCTTCTATTTATTTCAAACAGGAGAGGAATCAGGCTTATTCTTTATATTCACATTATAAACAGAGTAAAAGAAGCTATATTTTTATTAACAATTGGAATAATTTCTAGCTCTAATTACTGTAACAAATTTCTACTCGCACCTTGTAAATACCAGCTGATGCATGTTGGCCTCTTGGCATGGCCAGGCCCTCCATCTCTTGGCCAGTCCCTCCATCTCTCAGTGCTGGCTGTAACAACACACCACAGCATTGCCCAGCACACAGCAGAAGCGTGTTAGGAAGAGCAGCAAAGCCACCAGGACACCAGGATGCCAACAGAGGTGAGTGTTACAACATCACCAGATGGGATCAAACTGGTAACCACAACCTGCAGCTGCTCTACTGGAGTCACTGAGTAAATGAGGCTGGGAATGCRGATAATCTAAAATCCTTCATTTCCATATATTAAGAATCTCCGATTTCATTGACAGGTCTTCAAACCCTGTTGCTAGCTCAGAAACGGCTAAAATATAACTCAAACTTAAAAGGAAYTAGTTAAAGAAATAATGAGAAAACAAGGAAATATATTTGAAAGAAAACTTGGTGGAATGACCTCTTTACTTCAAGGGACTGACTGCAACATGGCAAGCTGATATTCAACCACTGTCTTTTCACTCACTATTGACTAAATTTTTTAATGACTTTTTGTCATATAGAACCTTGTGGAACTGTTCAACACACAGACAAGGAGCATGGAGCACAAATGTTTGGCTGTCATCCTTTCCACCTCTTGTGAAAAGACAGACACACAAAAGAAACTAATTCACCCACTTCAAATTTTCAATATAGACCAGCAAAAACCCCTTTAAGCTATATTCAAGAATAATCTGCTTTCTTTCTTCCCARTAAGTASYAGTAAAAAAACTCAGTAGAATAAAGTCTAGGGAAGAGTACAACTGAAGATACAATACCACATGCTTGAAGGGTCCTAGCAAAAACTGACCTCTCTTTGTAAGTGCAGAGTAGTAAAAGGCAGCATAATTACTGAGAAAAGAATCTCATATCCTTGTGAATAGTTTTCTAGAATGTAATTAAAACAGAAGTGTTGAATAAGCAAAGATTATCAAGTCTAAATGGAGCTACAATACCACCAATATATCTTAGTCTGATTTTCTACATATCTCTATGGATACCAACAGACTATGCTGGTCCCAASAGGATTTAGTGGTTTTACTTAAAATATAAGTAACGGCCCTTCTTTTTTTATACTACCAAATCAACATGATAATTCWGGAATTCATTAGTGAGGAACACTAACCAATCCAGCATAATAGCTTTACTTCCTCTGCAAAACACTTCAAAAAATATCTAAATGAATATGGAAATGCATCTTTCTGTGGTAAATTGTTCATTATTGAATCATTATCAACTCTTGTCAGACAAAATTTCTTTTGCAATGTACAAGATCATTAAAATGTTTGAGAGCTCCATCATGAAAGACAGTGGCACTTTATAATCCACTATCTCTTCAGGCAAATATGCTTACAGCTGAACATAATACACAAAACAACAACATCCCCTTGACACACAATTCTTTCTTTTAATGGTGTTCTTAAGTGTTGACAGCAATGGTGAAATATGTTGTTGCTCTCTCCCTTCTTCTTTTTTTAGTAGTTTTTAACTATTTCAATAACGTATTTCAGTCATGATAACATGTTGGGCAGGGATGTATTTCTTAGATCTTCATTGTGGAACCCCAGATGCTCAATCACTGCTATTAGACTAGTCAGATATTTCCTATAAGTTCATCAAGTTCATGTTTTTAGACTCCATCTCCTTTTAAACTCCAGAGCTCACAAAATAATGAAGCAAAACCTTAAATATCATATGCCTACATTAGCAAATAAAATAAATGTGTTCATTCTGTTTATGGGAACATACCCACAACTTGATATAAAAAAAACTTATAACATTGCCTAAAAAAACTTTTGAAGAATTATTATTTTTCTTTCCAATAACAAATAAAGAAAATATAAACACAGACAATGGTACTACACAAAAACTACTACTCTATGTTTTCACATAGCTTTCATCATTCCTCTCTCCAATTCAGCATCCACTAAAATACAACACTAATTAATGATAGTGCAAGTATAATACACAAAGCTGCATCCCATAGGGTAACATAAGTTAAATGAATGTAATTTTTTGTTATGACAAGCCGAAAACCACAAGTAGAATACTTTTCAAGGCATACTTTCAGAGTTTTGATGTGAACCTATCTTGGAGATAAATWCTGAAGCTTTCCATAATTCTTGGCCGCATATAGAAGGACATTAAGTACGTTTGCTCCAAGGAAATAAAAGCCCTAAGAACCCTTAGCCACAAAGCTTTACAAAACCATTTCAGTTCTCAGCTGCTTTGGGTGACTGACACATACATATCTTGCAATTTGTTAATCCTCTCTACAAAACCATCTAAATAGAGGCTTCTTCTTAAATCTGTATTAATGATGTAATTCTATTATGTCTAATAGAATCCTCTCTTCAATAAAAATGAAAAASCTAGAAGATACAGTTGCACCAATTATTTTTTTTCATATATTTAAAGGTATATATTGTTTAGAAATTGGACAACATAAATTAAAAGTACAAGCAAACAGTTTGCCTTTGGTAATGTGAATTTAAAAAAAAAATCTAACTTTACTATAYATTTTTGTAAAATAAAATCAGTATCAGCTACAAAGCCAAAAGACGTTCCATACATGCTACAGATCAAAATACTGGAGAAGCAATTGAAGAAATTTGTCTTTTTAGCTTTCTGCATTTGAAAAAGGACAACATTTGAAAGCTATTCAGAGAAAGTCTACTCTGTTTTATCAAAATAACTACTACATTTTATCTTTGCTGTCTTCAGATACGAATGTCATTGACCAATTGACATGTACTCTCTCTAATCAAAGTCTACAGAGATGGTCATTTTAAAATTGCATGTTKTCAGCTTTGTACATGAAGTTTAAACAAAATTCTGTTTTCAGCAATACCTGAGTTTTGTCTGCCTCTGTTTCAGAGAAAATTAAAATAGTAAATAAAGACTGAGCAAAGTAGAAAGATTTCCAAAAGAAATTGCAGACCACCAGGATTTGGATTTAGGTAATCCACTTAGATTACCATGGCTATGTCTTAAAAGGACAATACTGAGATCACAAAATAGGTCAAGTCTACAAGATGGGGACTATAGAAGTGAAACAATGTATGATGTACAAATTCAGAACAAATATTCAGAGTCATCCTTAAGTCTAAGATATAAAAGAAAAATGATCCCAAGGCTATSTATTACCAAATTAAATATTTTTAAAATCAACATTCTTACATTCCAAACTGAAACACAGAAAAGGAGATTTTTCAGCCAATGCCACCAACACATTAATATGTTTCAGGCAACACAGAATGCAGGCAATGAAAAAAAMCTTCCAATACCTAAGGCCACAATATACTACACCGTTTGCTTGCTTTTTTTTCCAGTTTCAAAAGCAGAAAATGTTAAACACCCAAAGGTCTGGAAGCAGGAATTTCCATCTCTTACTTAGAGCGGACAAAGTTTCTGATACAACATATATCAAAGAAATTAGAAAGTTAAAAATAAGAAGCAAGCCCTAAAATTATTAACTGAAGGAAAGCCTACAGTAAATTGGTAGTAGTTCAAGAACTGAACTGTATTTTTTTTTACAATGCATAAATTAAACGTTGCCATAAATGTCTTCTCATACAAAATTAAGGAAAAATAATCTTTAAAATAATTTAGTATTTACATGAAATGAAAATGTTTCCATTTTCTAGATCAACTTGAGAAAACCTTGGTATTTCCWTCTTCTAAAAAGTCCTGGTTAATGGCCTTCATGGAACTCACCCAACATAAAAAGATTTGAATAGCAAAGTCAGTGTTACTATGAGAAACAGAGCAACTTCTAGATGCTTGACATGGCAGGCCTAGACAAGGGAATGAAAAATGTCTCTTTCTGACCAAAGAGGCTTTGAGGGGATACTCGTAAAGAATTACCTACTTACCCATCAGATTTGAGTTCATGAAAGGTGTCGGGGACAATCCTTCATGAGGCCCTAATCGACTGTCATTCAAGTGATCACTGTAATGAGGACTGTCTGCAAAACCCTAGAGAAAAAAAGACCAGAGTATTAAACAGATTATTTGGCAGCCCTGCTAATTGAGTGTAATGACACTTTCCTAATTAAATGTGCAGTCACAATTGGTCATTAATCACAAAAGTTGGCTTTCAGGTCTATCTCATAGAAATTACTCTTTGCCCAAATATTACTTTCTCCCCATCAAAAAGAAACCATATAGTTCCTTAATAAGCTGCGTCCTCATGGACAAGATTTCTAAAAATTGAATAATACAGAGATATTTTGATATTTGAATCCTCTTAATGTTAAATCACTAACCACAGAGAGTAAAATTAGTCTGAAGAAATTGCAACTGATTTTTTTTCCTAAGCTTTCTGTTTGCATTAATAAAAGAGAATAAAAAGGTCAGGAAGAGTCACTGATGTTAGGAAAAAATGTTAGTGCAGATGAGAAGAACAAAWTCCATTTCTTCTTGCAGCCTGCTATTAATGCTACAGATTAATAGGCATTTTAGCAGTATCACATTACTAACCAAAAAGGGTTACTTCCATATAGTGATTAAAAAAACAACTTTGACATCMAATTTGCAAACAAGCACTGAAATACTTTTTTGCATTTTTCTACCATTAGCACAGCCAGCTTAACAGACTTGGAGTGACCCTTACACAGTCAGGAAACACTGTCTTATTGGAAGCTTACACCAAAGGCAGAGGAGATGGAAAACAAAGAAGTCCTTGGATGTACATATTATTTAATTAACCCAGTTACATAAAGCTCTCCTCAATACATTTCAAAACACCATCAGCTTTTCCATACGAAGGTATGAATATGTCATTTGCCATTCACAATTACCAAATGCMCACTGAATCATTTATTTTGTACCAACACATGAAAGACCTGGCAATCAAAACGGTACTTCCTTTGTAGCCAAAGTTTTGAAAAACATTTTATAGACCTTACCTTAAATTTCACATTTAGTCACTTCTCACGCAGAAACCTAAAGCTCAGGCCTAATTAAGGGAGRAGGGAAAATTGTTCACAGCTACCAGAAACCAAGTGCCCTGGGACTATAAAATCATCAATCACTGAACATTTATCATTTCTCCAGACCTCAGGCTCACATTCAAGAGAACATTAATGGGGCTGAAACAGGCCTCCTTATCTTTGCAGGCGTGCTGTCAGTTCTACCAAAGGGCTGCTAACTGAGGGCTGAAGGACTGTCAAAGCACGGCTGCTGCTTACGGATGCGTGTCACAGCCCTGCTGCTGCTCGGCTGCACAGCCATCTTCCGGGAGACACGACTCCCCACTGCATCTTGGGCTGACTTTATCTGCTCACAATCGCTGATACACTTGTGACAGGCATTCAGAAACAATCTTAGTGACATTTACAACTTGGTTATGACCACAAGGGTGTCCTCTGGAAACCATGACCCAGCCCTGTCTGTCAGACAAGCAGCATGGAGCAGCAGCTGCTGAGGAAATGGAGTGGCTCCTAGCTAAGGTCACCACATGTGGTTTATTTTTATGCTGAAATGAAACAAGAGAGAAATTAAATCTGCTGAATAAAGAAACAAATATTTGCAAATACAAGGACCAAAACCAAAGCTCCTAAATATTTGTGTCTCTGCTTGTACTCCTTACCATGGTTGGTTTTTTAARCCTTTTTCCCTAAGACAATACTTCAGCTATACTTTATTTTTGAAAGAAAGTAGCTATAAAGAACACTATCAGTGATAGAAGATGATCCATATCTCAGGCATTCAGAACMTGGTGCCCAAATGAGGCCCAGAAACTGAAATCTTTAAGACATCTTTATATACAAAGCAAATAAGATCGCTACTGAAAATGAGTAAGACCCATTTCATATACAGTTGCACACTGTGCAACGCGATCTACCTAATGCAGGGGATTCATAATGGTCCTCCCCGTGTTAATACTGCATGTTCCTCTCAAAAAATAGAGCAACTGGGTGGGTGGTTTACATAAAAAGGAATGTTCTTCCTTCTATCATCAGAATTTCTTTGAAGAAAACTTGACATCATGTTCTTTTCATATACCCTCACTGTTTCCTAAAATGGACTTGCAACCAATTACAGCATCCAAGTTGTATTTCTACAACACTAGACAAATCAATTACTTCAACCCCCTGGAAAATGCTCCAACTTGTCCTTTAGAACACCAAGGCCACCAGAAACAAAACACCTGGTGTACAGGATGAAAAAGTACTATGGGATATGCAAGCCCTTTAAATAGATAATAGCCTTTCCTGGACTTTAACACAATTCCTAAAATTAATTGTATCTGACATTTCCTTATTTGCTACAACAGAATTTACATTTGTGCAAATCGTAACCTATGCCTTCACCTACAGTGGGCCAATGTAAAGAGGTCTTGCCTTGGATACCATGCCTGATACCAGTTATTCAGTCTTAGTATCCAGTTATGGATTACCAACTCACACAACAGAGTTTTGTTTGGGATTACAAATCCTGGGCTGATTCCTACATACAACTCACCCATACTAAATGAATACAAAATAACCATAAACACGTGCAGTTTTGATTTAACAAGCAACTTTTGCACTTCATAAAAGCAAATTAATGAAAAGAAAAAATTAATAAAAGAAAAATCAGAAGAGCTCTAAGGASAGCGATTTAAATTACACAGAGCTACTTCAAATAAAATTGCATTCCGGATAGAATTCCTTGCTTTTGCATCTGTATTGTTAACCTACAGAGTAAACAGTATAGAGCTCTGCTACTGGGAAAGAGTTATAATCAATCATAGAAACAACTGTAGAAGCTTCCAACAGCTTCTGAAAAGTTACTGGAAGCTTCTATTCATACAATCAAAGCTCMAAAAAATGTATTTAACAAATATGATAGTGTGAATTGACAACATATGGTTACTGCTGAAAGAATAACATGGTTGAGAGCCTTAAAAAGTCTGGAATACCAATAAAGGATAGTGTTTATTTTAAAAGACACACCCCACTTGTGTAACTGAGTAATGAAGGGAAGACAACAATTGGCTGGCACATGAACTCATCTTTCATGGTAAAAGCAACAGAAGGTGGCAGTGGTGGGGATTTATATGACTTTCTATCAAAGCCTCTTTTTAAATCCATGTTTTAAGCAAGACTCAATAATACACACTGCCAAATCTCATCCTTTCTTTCTGAGAAAGGAAGGAAATCTCAGTTCCTGGCAATTTTGAAGCTCAATCTACTGAAGCTCACTTGAATATAGCTGGATTGATACGGACTCCAAGCAGGAGAAGGAACAATCAGTGATGCCAAAAGTTATTCTTTTGGGAGGGCTATTTGTTGGTACATATTCTGGCTGGTGATGTCAGTCTTTGGACCACAGGTGGGCTTCCAAAGCCYTTTGGAGCATTGCTTACCTACTGTTACCTGCAGGGCACGTTTAACATAGAAAGGCTGCAAAGAGACACTCCATGCTGAGAACCCATCCCCATTGCTGCCTCTGTGGCTCCTCAGCAAACCCATCAATAGATGGGTACACATCAGAGTGCACAGCTGAAGTGCTGAGCAAATAACTGGCAGAAGGTCTGCAAAACAGGAGTTACTGGACAAATTTATTTCCTGTTCTAAGCACTCTGTTCTGAAGGGACTGCAGATGGCTTAGGGCATTTTTCTGCTTGCAGAAAGCAAACTGATTTTGAATATGATTTGATTCCATAGCTGTAAACTCAAAACCATCTTGCTTGTTCCAACCTTTTGCACAGCAATTACAAAAGCAAGCTTTACCTTTCCCAAAGGAAGAAAAAACTTCTCTTTCTGCACTGTTATAGACCAAATAAAGTGCAATTGGGGCTAACTGTTCCCTTACAGCATTTTGTAATGTTTTTACTGTTGACTTTGTATAGGCCTCTCCCTGGATTTCAGTCTGACTGAACGTTGTGATCAGAAAGACCAAGTCACATCAACAAATGAAAGCAACAAGTATTGTCTACTAATACCTGTTATGAAATTAAGTAGAAAGACTATTGCTAATTAGCTCTGCAATTTAATTGAATGGTGAAGGCATTCTCAACATTGAATGCTCTAACTTGATCTGTTTTTCAGGGGTTTCACTGGATTATTCCAACAAATAAAGTCCACCAATTAAAAAACTCCACAGCTGTAACATTCATTCCTGCCTCTTCTGKGTAAGATGCCCCAAGTGTCCAAGCAACTGAGGCTGTATATCCGTACCAGGATTTTCCTMCATAATGTATTATTCTAGAATACAAAATGGAAAAAAAGCCCAACCCATACACCCAGAGCAAACATGTTCCTTACTAGGCATGTTTATCCTAACWAACCAAGAGAGAAGGCCCAACACAATGAGTTTATGCCCCATTTTACAAATAAAGCAGTAATTAACATCCTAAAACTCAATGGCTTTCAATGACCATTAAAGGTCTGTCATTTTGGTTAAAKTTAATTACAGAACTCACCTAAGAATAAGTCAAAAACCTTCACCAGTTCACTGTCCCTACCCGTTTTCATTGCACTGGCTCCAGGGTCTCTGTGGGATTAATGTTCTCCCTTTTACTTCCATTTCAAAAATATAAAACTATTGTTCCTTAGCAATTATTTTCTAAAGTCACACCGGAATTTGTCCATGCATAAGCAAAACTGCACTCCTGACCCTAACTGAAGTTGTGGGGGTTTTGGTTTTGTTTTTAAATAAACACAACATCCTGTTTCCACCTCAGGGTAAAAATTGAAAAATGGAGAAGACACTGTCACTACATGGCACACCATTTTCCTATACGTTTATTGAATTCACACTCAACTCATTGAGTTGTCCTCCCKGTAGAATTTACTACTCCACAGCTCCATTTACTACTAACCTGACTCGTTCAGTTAAGGCCACTAGACCAGAGAAAACAGGGGTTTTGTTTGTTTCTCCTCCCTTATCCCCAAACCCTCTCCTAACACAAGTCCCTGAGAACAGACCAAAATATAAGGCTCATAACCAAGCTGCCAGATCRCTAAGCACATATTTGCATTTTAGTA